AGATTTCTTTATATTGACATAACATTGGCATACTGGATAATAAATGATAATTAGGACCATTGTATTCATCGATAAATTTTATTTTAACAAGTTCTGTTTTATTCTTTTTGACATATGTAGTTCTGATTATAGAAATATCCAACAAATCTTTGGTACTTAAAATAATAACAAGGCATGCTTTAGTCTATTCAGCTCCCATTAACTTAATTAGTATTAATTCTTCTTTACTTTAATCATTAAATTCAAGATTACATCTTCTTAGACATTTGGACCATCAGTAAAGATGGAATTAGTTGAAGTTGGAGGCTAAAAAATTGTTTTATGTATTTAATTAGCAGGTATAATTGAAGCTAAAAGCAATGGATGCTCAAAAATCCATTGAAGATAAATTCTCAAAGATACATCCATGTTTTCCAGTGAATACAAGAATAGCTATAGTTGGAGCAGGTCCAAGTGGAATATCAGCTGCTTATGCATTATGTAATCTTGGCTACAACAATGTGACAGTAATCGAAAAACATCATTCGGTTGGTGGCATGTGTGAATCTGTTGATATTGAAGGTATACAAATATGTCTTCTATAGAGTTTATATTATGTACTACAAGGGCAACCCGGTGTACTAAGCTCCCGCTATGCGCGGCGTTCGGTGAAGGGCCGGACCACAAGGGTCTATTGTACGCAGCCTTACCATGCATTTCTGCAAGAGGTTGTTTCCATGGCTCGAACCGTTGATCACCTGGTCACCTGGCAGCAACTTTACCAGCTACGCCAAGGCTCCCCTTCACTAATAGCGTGAAATAGAGTATTGCACGGCTCGTGTTAAAATTCTTTATAGTGTCAGCGTATATAATTTAAACTTGTTTTATATGTAAGTACTTTTTGTTTGAGGGTTTGTGATAAGTAACAGATTTTGTGTGTTATGTAGGAAAAATTTATGATCTTGGAGGTCAAGTCCTAGCAGCAAATAGTGCTCCAACAATTTTCCATTTGGCAAAGGAAACAGGAAGTGAGCTTGAAGAATTAGGCTCTCACAAACTTGCATTAATTGATAGTCAAACAGGGAATTATGAGGACAACAAAGTTGCAGATGATTATGTGTCTGTTATAGCACTGACACTAGAACTCCAGGTCAGTCTATGTCAATTGTCATGTACAAAAATTCAGTTGATATACGAAAAGAAAAGGAATCATAATTCGTAGTAATTCATGAATTGACTAGTTTTACACTAAAAGGGCAGCCCGGTGCACTAAGCTCCCGCTATGTGCGGGGTCCGGGGAAGGGCTGGACCACAAGGGTCTGTTGTGCGCAGCCTTACCCTGCATTTCTGCAAAGAAGCTGTTTCCAGGGATTGAACCCGTGACTTCCTGGTCACATGGCAGTAACTTTCAGTTACTGCAAGGCTCCCCTTCAAATTGACTAGTTTTACTTCAGCTCGTTTGAACCATAAAAGTTTATTCACAGGACAAAGCAAAGGATTCAGGTAGAATTGGTGTTCATGCTGTGAGTGACATTGCTTCTGATATAACGCCTTCATTTCTTGAAAGTCGCGGATTTAAGTCTGTTCCAAAATCTGTTGCATATGGCTACACAGCTTCTGGATATGGATTTGTTCAAGACATGCCTTATGCATATATTCATGAGTTCACGCGGACGTCTATGGCTGGGAAAATTCGACGTTTCAAGGATGGATACACAAGCCTGTGGAAGAAAGTTAGTGAATCTTTGCCAATAACAGTCATGTGCCAAACGGAAGTCCTTTCAGTCAGGCGCGACACTTCAGGCATCGAAATAGATGTTAAAAACAGCAGTGGGGATTTTCAAAGTATGGAATTTGATAAAGTGATATTATCCGGGGCATTTCCTTATAGGAATGGGAGGATATATAGATCACCATCTTCCATTTCAGCAGGTATGATATGCAGCCTCGTTCGTGCTTGTGTTTCAACTTAGTTTGATGCTAATGTTAGTTTGATATAACAGATCCTGAAAACGAAGTGCTGGAATTGAGTGAACTTGAAAAGGAGTTGTTCAATAAAGTACAGATCATCGACTATTACACGACGGTTCTGAAGATTAAGGGACTAGAACACATGCCAGTTGGATTCTATTACTTTGAGGAATTTATGGATGATCCTGAAACAATAGGAAATCCAGTTGCCATGCAGAGATTCTATTCCAATACAAACATTTTCCTTTTCTGGTCTTACGGAAACTCAGCCAACATTGAGGGTTCAACAGTTTTACAGCTCGCGATTGATGCTGTCAAAAGGATTGGAGGTGAAGTTGAAATAGTAGTCCTGCAACGACGATTCAAGTATTTTCCTCATGTAAATAGCCAAGGTAAAGCTTATTATACTAAAAGCACAACGTGTCTTTCTTGTCAAAAAGTAATTCTACAAATTAGTGGTAACAAAATTCTTTTGTATTTGGACACAGATATGAAGGACGGATTCTATGACAAAATAGAAAACCAGCTTCAAGGTCAGCAAAATACTTATTATGTGGGTGGATTAATGGCATTTGAGCTCACTGAAAGAAATTCATCCTATTCTATGGCCTTAATTTCCAAGTACTTTGCAAATACTGATCCACAACCGAGATTTCCTTATGTTAAGGTACTCGAAACAGAAAATGACTGTTGCATTTTAAGAAAAGTTGAAGTGTGACATGTGAATAATTCAAATCAAAACCATTGATTTTGCAGAGATTATTTCCGCTCTTATCTGATCGCTTGGATAAGAATCCTACAGCTTTGAAAGAATCCCACCAAGTGGAATTTCCTGAATTGACTAGCCTCGACGGTTATTTAAAGCACTGGAGTACTCATAACATCAGCCGAAAGAAGACATTGTACAAATGGATTAGTGAAGAAGGACAAGTAGTTAACCAGAGGACATATGAAGAACTTAATGCTAATGCTTCTTGTATTTCTCAGAAGCTGTTGTCCAGTCAAAAACCAAACATGAAGCAAGGTGACAGAGTTCTCCTTGTTTATGTCCCAGGGCTTGATTTTGTCGATGCCTTCTTTGGGTGTTTACGAGCTGGAGTATTGCCTGTCCCAGTACTTCCATCGGATCCAATGCAAAGAGGAGGCCAAGCACTACTCAAGATTGAAAACATTGCTAAATCATGCAATGCAGTGGCTATTTTGTCAACTGTTGGTTATCATGCAGCTGTTCGAGCAGGCTCCGTGAAGAGTCTGTTATCACTGAACCGTAAAAATGGAACGTGCTCAGCTCGCTGGCCTAATCTTCCATGGATACACACAGATTCTTGGCTTAAGAATGCCAAAGAAATGCACTCAAATAACAATGACAGGTTTGAACCCCAACCGGATAATGTGTGCTTTCTACAATTTACATCAGGGTCAACAGGAGATGCTAAAGGAGTTATGATAACTCATGGTGGTTTAATCCACAATGTGAAGTTAATGCGAAGAGTATACAAAAGCACATCAAACACAGTACTGATAAGCTGGCTTCCTCAGTACCATGATATGGGACTTATCGGTGGCCTTTTCACAGCTCTAGTAAGTGGGGGATCAGCAATTTTGTTTTCCCCAATGACATTCATCAGGAACCCTCTCCTGTGGCTCGAGACGATGACCAAGTACAAAGCAACTCACAGTGCTGGTCCAAACTTTGCATTTGAGCTTGTCGTCCGGAGGTTAGAGGCTAACAAAGAGAAGGATTGGAAGTATGATCTTTCACCACTTAAGTTTCTAATGGTTGCTGCTGAACCAGTGAGGCAGAAAACTCTAAAGAGATTTATTGAGCTCACGAGACCTTTCGGTCTTTCTCAGCGAGTGATGGCTCCTGGCTATGGATTGGCGGAAAACTGTGTGTTTGTAAGCTGTGCTTATGGAGAAGGAAGACCAATTTTGGTGGATTGGCAAGGAAGAGTTGGTTGCGGCTACACGAATCAAAATGAGGCAGATGTTGACATCAAAATAGTTGATCCGGAAAGTGGTGAGGAGCACAAGGAATCTGGAAAGGAAGGAGAAATATGGATTAGCAGTCCCAGTGCAGGCCTTGGATACTGGGGAAGAGAGGAACTGACTGAGAAAACTTTCAGAAACAAACTCGGAACGCATTCCGAAAAGGTATACACAAGAACTGGAGACCTTGGAAGGATAATTGAAGGGATTCTGTTTATAACTGGAAGAATCAAGGACCTCATTATAGTTGCTGGAAGAAATATTTACCCATCAGATATTGAAAAAACTGTCGAAAGCTCATCCGAACTCTTGCGACCGGGTTGTTGTGCTGTCATTGGAGTTCCAGAAGAGACCTTATCCAGCAAAGGAGTGTCAGTACCTGATCACTCTGATCAGGTTGGCTTAGTTGTAATTGCAGAAGTTAGAGATGGTAAATCTGTTAGCAAAGATGTTGCTGAGGAAATTAAGGCAAGAGTTGCTGAAGAACATGGTGTTACATTGGCTTCTGTTAAGCTGATCAAGCCTAGAACTATCAGCAAAACAACATCTGGAAAGATAAAGAGATTTGAGTGCTTGAAACAATTCAGTGATGGAACACTGGATGTGGTTCCGGATCAAAATTCGTCGAAGCGGAAACTTCTTAGATCTTTCACCACAGCTTCATGCAAGGAGGGAAATACACCAAGGCCACATTTGAATAGAACATCACCTTCACCAACTCCAAGATTGAATAAAATAGAAATAGTGGAGTTCCTGAAAAGACTGATTTCCGAGCAGACAGGAATCTGTATCAGTAAGATTACTACTACTGAAAGCTTAGTATCTTATGGTATTGATTCTATTGGTGTAGTCAGGGCAGCTCAAAAGCTTTCAGATTTTCTTGGAGTGCAAGTTGGTGCAATTGATATCTTCACAGCAACTTGCATTGAGGACTTGGCAAGCTTCACAGAGGATTTGGTAAGGAAATCTCGGCCTCAGGATACCGAAAATCCTTCTCATTTTCAAGACTACTCGGAGGATGATTCATGTAATTTGGTGGCTGAAGTTTCCTCGTCTCGTCGATTCGGTATCATGCTATTACAACTTCTTGCTCTTGTCTATGCAATTTTCATGCTGGTCCTTCCTGCATGCTCATCCATATCTGTATTTAAAAAACTGATTTTGGAAAGTCCAACTTTGATCAATTCATTTCCTTGGGTTGGTTATGCAATTTCTTTGATTTTTGCACCATTTGCTTGGCTTTTATGCATATGTACCACATGCATATGCATTGGTATTCTTGGAAATTTAGTCCTTCAACCAAATTATTCCCTGACACCAGAAGTGTCCATTTGGTCATTGGATTTTGTTAAGTGGTGGGCACTGTATAAGGCACAAGAAATGTCATCCAAAGTTATGGCAGTGCATTTGAGAGGAACAGTATTCCTGAAATACTGGTTCCAAATACTTGGATCAAAGATAGGATCATCAGTCGTACTGGATACTGTCGATATCAGTGATCCAGCACTGGTTTCGATTGGAGATGGAGCTGTTATTGCAGAAGGAACTTTAATTCAAGGCCATGAAGTGAAGAATGGAATCTTGAGTTTCCTTCCAGTTAGAATTGGCAAAAACTGCTCTATTGGTCCTTATGCTGTAATCCAGAAAGGAAGTTTTTTGGGAGAAGGGACTGAAATAGCATCATTACAGAAGACAGAAGGAAAGGCAGCATCAAAATCAAACAGCAGCAAGAAGGTGAGGACTTTGATTTCACAAGTTAAATATATCTGATTGTTCAACTTTTTATAACCTTCATATTTTCTAATTTAGCCCCTAAACAGAATCCTAAGGAGCCTTTTTAACATAGTGAAATTCACTTCTATTGTGATTGAACAGCCAAGAGAAGCAGAAGGTGGTCTTAGTCAAGCTATGTATCACTTGATGGGAATCTACATTGTCGGATTCATAAGCGCTCTCTCAGGAGCGATCCTTTATTTCTTGTACATTCTGTTAGCTCAAAAATCTCCATCTCTTCAACACTTTTCCGTAATCTGTCTTTCTGGAGCATTCCATTGGCTTCCTTTCACTAGCATTGCTTACATGACCATTATTTCTACTACCTCTTCAAGTCCAATAATCTTTGCTATCTCAGTTGCAACCGCCTACTTGGCTCATGGATTGATCCTGAGCTTCCTTACCATCTTTGTCAACAATTTTCTCTCAAAAAGCACAGATGATTCACTAAGATTATGGCTGAAACATAGAATTAACATTGCCTGTCATCTCAGATTTGCTAAACTCCTTTCCGGAACTGAAGCTTTCTGTATGTACTTAAGGCTCTTGGGGGGCAAAATTGGAAAACATTGTTCTATCCGAGCCATCAACGCGGTTTCTGATCCAAAATTGATATCACTAGGCGATGGTGTCCACCTAGGTGACTTCAGCAGGATTATAACCGGTTTCTATTCCTCGAGTGGATTCACAAGTGGGGTAGTTGAGGTACAAGACAATTCAGTTGTTGGGAGCCAAAGTGTTGTCCTCCCAAAGTCACTTATACAAAAGGATGTTATTCTTGGTGCACTTTCTGTTGCTCCAGTGAATTCTGTTCTTCATAGTGGTGGCGTTTACGTTGGATCTCAAGCTCCTGTTATGATAAAGAACACACAGCACACCATCGATGAAAGGATAGAAGAGATGGATATGAAATACAAGAAGATAGTTGGAAATCTAGCTGCTAATTTGGCTGCGACCACTCTCAAGGTCAAAACAAGATATTTTCATCGAATTGGTGTTAGTGGAAAGGGAGTGCTTAAGATGTATGACAACATTAAAGGATTGCCAGAACACAAAATCTTTCAATCTGGCAAACATTATCCTGTCATAGTCCGGCATAGCAACAGCTTAAGTGCCGATGATGATGCAAGGCTCGATGCTCGTGGTGCTGCTTTAAGAATACTCTCTGATACCACTTCAGATGTTGAAAAACCAATTCTAGACTTGACATTGAAGACAGGGAAAGCATTTTATGCTCGGACTATTTCTGATTTTGCGACATGGCTTGTTTGTGGCTTAGCTGCAAGGGAAGAGCATGTGAAACGCGTTCCACACGTTCGCGATGCAGTATGGACATCACTACGTGATTCGAACTCATTTACTGAGATGCATTATTACTCAAATATATGCAGGCTTTTCAGGTTCAAAGATGGACAAGAAATGTATGTGAAGTTCAAGTTGAGGCCATGTGATGAAAACATTAGTGAAGATTCTGGTAAAGTTGAGCCTATTGGAATACTTCCTCCAGAAACAGGTGCAATTCCAAGGAGAGATAGCGACACACGCCCGTTACTTTTCCTTGCTGATGATTTCCAGAAACGCGTGAGTTCACCAGGTGGTGTTCGCTACATTTTCCAACTCCAATTCAGGCCAGTGCCTAAGGATGAAGCAACACAAGATATTGCACTTGACTGCACTAGACCATGGAATGAAGCTGAATTCCCATATGTTGATGTTGGAGAAATCATTGTGGATCAGAACCTTACCAAGGAACAATCAGAGAAGCTGGAATTCAACCCTTTTCTCCGATGCCACGAGGTTGATGTTATCAAAGCAACATCAGCCTCTCAAAGTGCATCAATCGATCACGGTCGTTCATTGATCTATGAAATTTGCCAACATTTGAGAAATGGAGAACCACTTCCAGAAGCTTGGAAGAATTTCATTGAACAATCTGATGTGAAAGTTGATCTTTCCGGTTGTCCTATAGCATCTTCACTACAAGTAAAACAAGAAACTAGTCATGAAATAGCTCTATCAAGAACATGGTATCAAACTTCTTGGTCTACTTTTGCTCAGCCACTATTCCAAACATTCTTGCCATACTTTTTCTTGGCATATTCAATTCATGGTCCACTAAATTGGCTGCTGTTTTTAAAGCAAACTACAACTCAACCACTATACTGGTTTTTTCCTTTCTTTTGGATATCTTCAGGGCTAATATCAGCATTGGTTTGTGTATTGGCAAAAGCTGTTTTCACAACAAGAAAGAAAGATGGAGGAAAAGCACATATATGGAGCACAAGTCTTTTGATGGAAACAATATGGCAAGCATTTAGGACATTAGTTAGTGACTATTTCATGGAAATGACAACAGGATCATTCTTGTTTGTTATTTGGATGAAACTTATGGGATCAGAAGTTGAGTTAAGTCAAGGGGTTTATGTAGATAGTATGGGAACTTTATTGAATCCTGAAATGATGGAAATTGAAAGAGGTGGATGTGTAGGCAAAGAAGCATTGTTATTTGGACATATATATGAAGGTGAAGGAGTAGTGAAATTTGGAAAAGTTAGAATAGGAGAAGGAAGTTTTGTTGGGAGTAGAGCTGTGGCAATGCCTGGAGTTGTAGTGGAAAATGGTTGTAGTTTAAATGCACTTTCACTTGCTATGAAAGAAGAAATTGTTAAGTCAAGGTAAAGTAGTTGCCTCTCTACTCCCTCGGGGGTAGGAGTAAGATCTGCCTACACACTACTCTCCCCAGACACCACGTGTGGAATTTAGTGGATTGTTGTTTTTAAGGTAAAGTGGTTGTTGGTATTGTCATTTTTTCTAAATAATATGATAAGCTAACAACCTTTGTTGATGAGTTTGTTGTGTTATGTTCAATGTTCATGGCTTGTTTTTATGTGAAGAGAGAATAATTGATAAGAAAGTTATTCTCTTCTTTGTATGATTATGAAGGGAAAAAAAAAAGTGGAAAATAAAGGAAAATCTTTATGTTTTCCCTATTCTATTCTTTCTTTTCACCTTGAACCTTTTAGTGTGCATACAACAAAATGATAACTATCCTTCAATTCCAAACAAGTCGGTTCGACTAAATGGATTAGTTTATTAAAATAATTTTTACTATAGGTCTTATGTTTTTTAGAAGTGACTTATCCTTTTAGAGATTTATGCATTTAAAAAAAACCTAGAGAGCTTATCCTACATTTTTTTTATTTGCGTATAACACCGACTTGAGATGAGTGTAATTTTGAGTAACATAATCAGTAAGGATTTATATAGGCAACACTAATTTATTGAGATTGAAGTATAATAGTGTTGTAGTAATACTATTACTTATCTAAAATTAAAATGAATGAGAAATTAATGCAGATACGAACTAAAAATATATATTTTTAATCTCATGATGTTTGGTTGGGGGGGGGGGGGGGGGGATCATTTTCTTGGGAAAGAGAAAATACTAGTAGTAGTTTTCTCACTCCATTCCCCTAAGAAAAAGAACTGATAAAATATAATTTGCAACTTAAAATGAATAAAAGAAGAAGAAAAAAACTCATTGCCTCAATCCACAAAGAAGTGCATGCATGCACGCACAAATTCATTGAATCTGGACATTTCACAAGTTTCTCTTTCTTTTTTAGTTTTCCATGTTGGAGTTCGATACTCATATTAGGGTTCGATTAATTCTGATTTGTACCATGTATGTCTCATTAAAAGGGCAAAGTCTTCTTACTACTTACTTCGGTCCAAAATAAGTGATTTTTTAGTTGTTTTCACACAGATTAAGAAATTCACCTTTTAACATTAATTAGCAATGAAATTGACCATATTAACCTTTACTATCTCTTTACATAAATACTCCTAACACATACTCCAACACTATTTACTCCAAGGGCAATGTAGGAAAAAAAAAATTAATTCATTCTTGAAATCTGAAAAAATCACTTACTTTGGACCACAAAAAAAAGGCCAAAAAATCACTTATTTTGGACCGGAGGAGTAATTTTCTTTTATAATTCTTAGAGATCGAACCCGAGATTTTTGATTAAGCGTAGAAATATTTTATCTATCCTGCTATTCATTGAATCTGGACATGTTACAATTTTTTTATTCTTTTTTGGACATGTCACAAGTTTCTTGAGAAAAGACAAAAGATATATAGAACGAAGAAAGTTTCAAGAAACCAACAGAGCCTGTAACCTCTAGGGTTGTGACACTTGTCCGTTGTCTCCTTTACTTTTACAATTTGTTCATAGTTTTTAATTCTAGTCAAAATTAAAATGTACTCCCTCCGATCCAAAATAAGTGATTTTTTGGATGTTTTCACACAGATTAAAAAATTCACCTTTTAGCATTAATTAGCAATGAAATTGACCATATTAACCTTTACTATCTCACATAAACACTCGTAACACATATTCCAACACTATTTACTCCAAGGACAATGTAGGAAAAAAATAATTAATTCATTCTTGAAATCTGGAAAAATCACTTATTTTGGACCACAAGAAAAACGCCAAAAAATCACTCATTTTGGAACGGAGGGAGTAATTTGATGTAACAAATACTAAGGACACTCATAGTTGACTAGGTTCTCACAATAACTTCTCTCCTTTTTAGTGCTAGGTGAGTTTATTAAGAGGTCGTTTGGTAGCCGGTTAGAAGAAAGGTTATTCATGTATAAGGGGTAACATAACTTATACCATGTTTGGTAGGCAATAGTTATTTTGTATAAAATTCTGCATAACTAATACCATGTTTGGTTGACATTTTTCAATTATGCATAAATAATACATGTATAAGTTATGAGTCAATCTGTGTATTATTTTATGCGGGGTAGAAGATGGAATAACTAATACATGTATTAGTAATACATGGATAAAATACTGAAATGACAAATTTACCCCTATCACTTTACACATGAGGCTTCCTTATTTCTCTGCCAACCCGTCAACAGGTTTCACTTGCTTTCACTTGCGAACTATATACCTTGTCTTCTCTCATTTTTAAAGAACAAACTAGCAAAAGCAAACTGGAGAAGCCACTAGAAAATGAAAATACCAAAACTAAGAAGTGAAAATCAAATATGTCTATTCACATAGTTCAGTAGTATGACGAAGAAGTGAAAGTAACACCCAAAGTTCCTAACTAAATTGTTTCCTACATAAATGGAAAGAGAGAAAAAACAATGCAAAAGAAGGTCAGGGGTATAGTTGTAAACAAGCATTTTACTTAAAATTTATATAATGTATATCAATTTCTAATACAACAAACCAAACATTCAAAAAAATAATCTCTGCATAACTAATACCTGCATAACTAATCCCTGCATTACTTATCCCTGCATAACTAATCCCTGCATTACTTATCCCTGCATAACTAATCCCTGCATAACTAATACATGTATAACTAATACCTGCATAACTCTAACCGGCAACCAAGCGACCCCTAACTTCATAAAAAAAAAAAAGCACCAATTATAATTTTTAAATACATTAAGTAGTTTTTATCAATAAATTTTTTACCTCTATACTTTGTAATTTCAAAGCATTTACATTTAGGAATCGGTTGGTTGGTGTATTACAATTTTAACCTTTAGCATAAAATTCAGCATACAAATAATCACTACATAACTAATAAAGTTTTAGTTTGTATGATTAAATAATATTCGTATTAAATTATACGAGAATTTATGTGTTATTATGTACAAAAAAGATATACGAAGAATATATATGTTGAATAGCGTCTGAAGTATTTAAAGATAAATGTTATTTTAAGTTAAGTAATTAACATATAGCAATCTCTTTATTATTAGTTACCTCATAACAATCTCTTCATTATTACTCACTATATAAATAATCTGTTTATTATTACTCACCATATAAACAATCTATCTATTAATTTCCCATAACTATTATATGAACCAAAAATACCTCAATGTTTAGGAAGTAGAGTAAAATTTACATGTCTGCCTCTGATATTTAATGATTTAATCCAATAAATCAATACAATGACACATATTTTTGTATATTTAATTACTTAATTATTAATGTTTTAATATAATTTCGTATAAACAGTCTGTAAACGCTGATGATTTTCCGCCTCTTCTTTTTTGTCCTTTTACAATCCGTCTTTGCCTTTTACCTTCTTTTTTTTTCCTTCTCCTTTTCTCTTTTCATAAGGAATTTTCAATCTCGTTGTCTTCAATCTAAAAATTCTGAGTTTTCGCCGTCTCTGTTCATAATACATGTCTGCATTTACATTTATTTATTTTGTTCTAAAACCTTTTTTAAGTTTTTTATTGCCTCCTTTTGCTGTGTGACCATTTTTTACCAAAAAAAAAAGGGAATAAAATCTGATACCCTTTTTTGGGTTGAATCAATCTGCTGACCAAAAGGAAAAAAAACTGCTGCAACTTTTGTGTAGGCATGGCTGTGATAGATGAGATTGGTGTTGATGTCAGGTTAGACCCTTTTAATTTTTGTGTGTGTGTGTGTGTGTGTGTGTGTGTGTGTGTGTGTGTGTGTGTGTGTGTGTGCATATATATGTTTCATTATTTGTGTTTATCTTTTGTGTTTTCTTTTTCCGGTTGTGTTGTTGTTTGAGCTCTGTATAAACCAATGTAAAATCTTGAATAGTTGTGGTATGACTAATTGTTATATCAATTTACCAGAATTGTCATTTGGGTAAGTTTTGTTTTTTTATAATCTTGAAGGGTTTTATGAGTTTTGAGCATTTGTATATGTTACTTCAAATCTGTATTAGTATTTGAGAATTTGGCTATGTAAGCTCTAACTTGAAAGTTGAGTTTTTTATTGTGATTTTTATTCAATTGCTGGAAATTAGATAAGCTTCCTGCATTAGCAATCATAAAAATTGATTCTTAGATTGAAAAGAATAGTCTTTTGTGTTTTTCGAGTATGAGTTTGTTGCTTTCTGTGGCAAAACCTTAGTGGACAGAGTTGTAATTAGTCGAGGTGTGCGCAAGCTGGCTCGGACACCACGGTTATCAAAAAAAATTATTGCTTTCTATGGTCTCTCTCTTGTCTCTTTTCGTTTTCTTGAGCCGGGGGTCTTGCGGAAACAACCTCTCTACCCTCAGGGGTAGGAGTAAGGTCTGCGTACACTCTACCCTCCCCAGACCCCACCTGTGGGAACTCACTGGGTGGTTGTTGTTGTTGTTGTTGTGTTGTATGGTCACTCTGAAATTGCTTTAGTCTTTGGTGTTTGCAAGTTTTAGTTGTGTGTTCCTTGACATTCTGATGTTTGCTGGTTTATGAATAATGTACCTCTGTTGGATGGATATAATTTTACTGGCATTTAGTTTTGAAGTGAATAATGTATGATTGATGCTTATGTGTTGGTGAACAGCTCGGACATTGAAGTCGATGACATAAGGTGCGACAACATAGCAGAAAAGGATGTCAGTGATGAGGAGATTGAGCCAGAAGAATTGGAGAGACGGATGTGGAAGGACCGTATTAAGCTCAAGCGGCTCAAGGAAAGACAGAAACTTGCTGCCCTGAAAGCCGCTGAGAAGCAGAACAATAAGCAAGTTACAGATCAGGCTAGGCGGAAGAAGATGTCGAGAGCTCAGGATGGAATTTTGAAGTACATGTTGAAGCTCATGGAAGTCTGCAATGCTCGAGGATTTGTTTATGGTATCATTCCTGATAAGGGTAAACCTGTGAGTGGTGCGTCTGATAACATAAGAGCTTGGTGGAAAGAGAAGGTAAAGTTTGATAAGAACGGTCCTGCTGCAATAGCCAAGTATGAAGCAGAATGTCGTGCGAAAGGAGAGGGAGTCGGCAGCCAAAATGGTAATGCAGGAAGTGTTTTGCAAGACTTGCAAGATGCTACACTGGGGTCCCTCTTGTCTTCTTTGATGCAACATTGTGATCCACCTCAGCGGAAGTACCCGCTGGAGAAAGGCGTCTCACCACCGTGGTGGCCGACAGGGAATGAGGAATGGTGGTCTAAAACGGGACTACCCAAGGGTCAGAATCCGCCATACAAGAAGCCACATGATTTGAAGAAGATGTGGAAAGTTGGCGTTCTAACTGCTGTTATAAAGCATATGTCGCCTGATATTGCGAAGATCAGGAGATTAGTCCGCCAGTCAAAGTGTTTGCAGGACAAGATGACTGCTAAGGAGAGCTCGATCTGGTTGGCTGTTTTAAGCAGAGAGGAATCGATCCTCCAGCAACCAGGCAGTGAGAATGGATCATCTAGCATAGAGCCACCTGCTAGAAGCCGCAGTGAAAAGAAGAAACCTTCCTTTAGCAGTGACAATGTATATGATGTCGATGGTGTTGATGATGGTATTGGCTGTGTTTCATCTAAAGATGAGAGGAGAAATCAGCCATTGGATGTTCATCCTCTAAATTCCATTCCTCAATCTCACCAAAGTAAGGAGCAAGGAGATGGACGGCATAGAAGAAGAAAACGTGCTAGGTCAAATCCTACTGAGCAACAGATCCTACCATCTTTGAGACATGGTGATGACGATAGTAACTCATTACCTGATACAAACAGTTCGGGAAGCGTAAGGGAAAATGACAAGAGCGGAGCACAAAAGCCTGTAGAGAACAACATTGTGACTCAATCAGAGTTACCATTACTAGACTCGAACCTTTCATTGGTTCCATCAGCTAATGTAGTCTTTACAGAGGATGCATATATAGGCACTGGGCCATCTCTTTATCCGATGTCTCAAAACTCTCCAGTTGTCCCTTATGAATCAGGAGCGCATCTTGGAAGTCAAGACTCTGCTGTCCAGCATCAATTTCATGACACTCAGTTCCATGGTCACCATAAAATTCCAGGAATAAACGATGTACCACAAAATTCCCATTTGCATTATGGATCTCACAGTTCTGTCGTACATACCCAACTGCAGGTTTCTGGATTTGCTCATGGATCTCAATTTTCTAACTTAAATCAACCTCCTCTGTATCACTCTTATTCTTCAGCTGAATTTGGATCCACACATGAGAAACCGCAGTCCCACTTGGCGTGCAATGAACTTCCGATTAGGCCAAGGGATTCTGGAGTTGGTTCATTGCTTCACGGAAGCGGAAATAATATCACTGTAGGCAATCATCATTATGGAAAAGACATGTCTCAGAATAACCATGATAGACATATTGAGATTCCTTTTCCATCGCCACTTACTATTGGTTCACCGGATTATGCTACACTTGGCAGCCCATTTGATTTGGGGCTTGATGTCCAAAGTTATTTAGACAATACTGATTTTGATTTAGATTTTGACAAAGAAATGATGTCATTTTTTGCCTCATAGACAACTACAAGGGGAACAGACTATATTTAGAATGTGAGTATTACTCAGTGAACTACTCCCTCTTTCATTTGTTTGGAATGTAGTTCTGTTTTGATTTTTCTGATTACAAGAACTTCTCTGCAGGTGCGTGATAAAGGTGGAACCTGTTTCAAAGTGGAACAAGTCATTCTCTCATTAAATCAGAAGCTTGACTGTAAGTACTGGACTTAGTTTTCTTATACAGAAGTCAAATGTAAATTCATTGACAGCAATCTCAATTTTTTTTGGTCTATTTTGGCCTATCTTTACTTTGTTGGAGAAAAGTGGTAAGGGGCAAGAAAGAGTTCTTATTGTCTTCTTTATACTCATATTGTTGTCATCATTCTTTTATCTTTTGATTTTCTTTTACCATAATCATTGTAATTTTCACATTCATTCTAAGCTAACCTTTATACATTTGTAGTCTGTTTGGCCAAGTTTCTCCAAAAGCAATTTTTCTTTTTTAAAAAATGCTTTTGAGTAGAAGTAGTTTTGGAGAAAACGGAAAAAAGTAATTATTGCTCAGAAGTGCTTTTCAATAATTAGCCAAACACAAACTACTTCTCTCCAAAAGTATTTTTGAAAAAAGCACTTTTGAGAAGAAAAAAAACACTTCTCGAAATAAGCTGATTTTTTAAGTCTGACCAAACAACTATTAATTTCCTCTGCCTAGGAATGGGACATATATGGAGGGAGAACCAATAGATGGATATATGGACCAGAGAGAAGATATATAGTAGTAGCTAGTGGTGGCAAAATGGATAAAAGAAAACAATTATCCATCGATATTATCCATTAAAATATGGGTTGGATAATGAACTATTTGAAAACGAGTCAAATATGGATAAGAACCATATTATCCACTTAGAAAATGGATAACCAATGGATAACTAATTAGTTTAAATTTTACATTTGTAAAGCCTCAAATTGGGGGTTCATCAAGTTTGGGAGACTCTGACTTCTCCCAAAAGTGATCATGTTCAAGAATCCATGGATAATATGGTTATCCATATTATCCGCCGGTTAACCCGTTTACTATCCGTACTAAATATAGGTCGGGTCTGATAATTTATCCGTTTTCGACGCGTCCCATATCCAACCCGACACGCCCGTTTGCCACCCCTATTAGTAGCATTTAAATCCTTTCAGTTTAGTGTTTTTCCACAACTCATTTGAAGGGGATTCTAATGTTTTAACAAGTATTTTCAGTTAACCTCAATTCTACTATTTCCACCTTTTTGTTTTAACCCAGTTATAACATTATCTTTATCTAACTTATATGGGAGAATGACACTGTATAGCCGTTCCCAAAATAATTGTCAAAAAAATGTATATTTTTTTTTGTATACAAAAAATATACAAATTTTATACAGTTTTTTGGCTACTGAATGTAAATAGTTTCTGGCACGGGCTAGAAGTGATAATACCCCAACTTATATTGGTATGAGATCTCTAACTTTGGTGATTTATGGTTGGTGAAAGTTTAGAAGTTAAAAGGAAAATGAGATTTGCCCAATTTAAGCTTGTCTTATACTCCCTCCGTTTCAAATTAAATGAGGTAGTTTGACTCGGCACGGAGTTTAAGGAAAAAAAGAAAGACTTTTGAAATTTGTGGTCTTAAAAGCTTAAGGGGTAAAGCTTTGTGGGGCCATGACTTTTATGTGGTTATAAAAGCTTCTCATTAAGGGTAAAATGGGTAAAATGAGGAGTTTAAAGTTGAATTATTTCTAAATTTAGAAATGTGTCATTTATTTTGGAACAGACTAAAAAGGAAAGTACCTCATTTAATATGAAACGGAGGGAGTAAGTAATTACTCTAAGCGATAGTAAAAAGTTAAGTTTAACTTTGAAGGAACTTTCTCAAAGCATATTTCATTTGTTTGTAGGCTGGGGAGGGAAGGGGGGGCAGAAAAAGTTCGTCAAATGACTTTCTTTTTGGGCAAATAAAATAAATACTAGAAATTGAGTGCTATAAATATTACCCATAAGGATAATACTAAATAGCCGTCATTACATCGATAATTAATTGTTCCACATATATGTAAGGGAGGGGTAAATACAGTAGTACAAAATATCACATATTCAAGCCTCCTAACAAATGACTTGGGATCGATCCCCCTTCAATACCTTTTGGGTGGAGCCTGTCGCACAGGATTGCTTAGTGCAGTTTACATACCCTATGTGGTTTGCAAGCTATTATACAATGGAGGGTTTATTCAGTGCGCACAGAATGCTCACCCGATAGAGGCTGTAGCGGTTTTCTTGGGGTTCAAAAAAAAAAAAACTAAGGAAACTTACACAAATGTCCCATATAAGTTTCAATTTACCAACCTCTAGCCATTAGTTATAAACTTACCAAAACTAGCCAAGCACATATAAATTTTGAAAAACTAAATAAATAAGGTTCTTTATCTCAAAGAATCACATGCAAAAATCTCCTTCCATATTTGTAAGCGTGATTAGCAACAATAGATGCAAGACGGAAAGGAAATTTCATGGATGAGGTAGCAAATAAGGTGATGAAATACAAAAAAAAATACAATATTCCAAAAATCTAAGCAAAAAAGGAACTTTTTTCAATGGGTATAGTTGAAATTCATTGAAAACATATAGATAAGTCAATATACAAAATTTGAGGAAGATTGGAGGTGATTTCGACTGATTTTGTATCAAAATTCATAATTAAATCGAGTTCAAAAAAGTTCTTATGCAACACATGTATCAAACATGTATCACGCATGTATCTCACACACATGTATACATGGATATACATGTGATACATATTGATGCAAAATATGATACATATATGATACACAAATGATACACATATTTTTTTTTCATGTTCGATTTTTACTTCGAATTTCAATTCAAATCACCTCAAAACTTCACCAAATCATCTCAAAACAGAGATTCAAGCTCATTAAGATGTACCCAATTTATTCTAATAACACCCACTCAAAAGAAAGCAAAAAATTGACCTAATTTTGCTACAAATAGCTAATTGACTAATATTAATATTAGTAATATTTGGCTAATATTAGTAATATTTTATGAATTGACCAATTTTTGTAATAAACTCCTTATAAATGGACATAACTGGTAATTTCCCAAAAAACTAATCGCTCTATAGCCCATCATCATTTTTCTCATCATCAATTTCCTCGTCTATAGCCCAATCTTCAGCATCAGAAAAGACGTAACCTAAAAAAGTTACTGCTAGTCTTGTGTCTATCGGCAAGTCCATAAATGAGTATTTCTGAATACCATTCGGATGTAACAGCTCAATGTTATCCAAAGAGTGAGACTCGCCATTGATCACCTATAGTAAAATAAGCACAAACTTAATTGATAACTTTTAACACATTAAGTATAAGCACATATTGTTTAATGAAACTAATTAGTAATGAAATTTTTACATTCCTATACCATATAGGAAACCTTATTACCCTTAATGTTTAAGGTTTGATAATTACATTTAGTATACCAAATTACCAATTCTATACCATAGTGTATTTTAAGGGTACAATTAGTGCAGCGTATATCCCTCCTTAAAGGTACCGTGTATCCCACCCCTCCCACGTTTCTCTCTCCCAAACCCTCATCCTCACCCACGTTTATGTACTGTTATTAAACATAAAGTATTGAGCAACGGCGAAAAGTATGATGATTATGATGATAAGTATGCGGATTTGACACATTCGTTGTTCGATGAAGAGGATGAATATTTAGGTGATCCAAATGCATCAGCTATAGATATGGTGAGGAATTTCAAAGAGGAAGAAGGACAGAATTTCGTACTAGAAGACGAGATCGATAATGTGGCTGATTTGTTTATTAGGAAATTCCATAAAAAGATGAGGTTGTAACATGGTCTGTTAATACTAGAGTATCCAGAACGCAATTCTTTCGGGTTGGAGTTGAAGGATGTTTTAGTTAAATTCATTCAGATCTGCAAAATCTGTTGTTCCCAGGCTTCCACTAGCTGGACACTTGTCTTTTGCGTTGGAGATTTTTGCACATTATATGTACAAGTTGTCACAAGCTTTAACTTAGCTCCATGTGTTATTTCAATATTTATTCTTCTTAAATCATAAATATTCGTCCAATTTCATAAATGAAATTTTCGACATAATTGCGTTTTTTGCAGAAGATTTATAGAAGTTTTAGTCGTTTTTGATTTGTGAAAACAGTAAATAAAGCATCTACAATCAGAATACAAATAATCTACAATTTATCTACAAAATATCTACAAACTTGGTACATTGAATTTTAATATCCCAATTCCCATTCAATTGTAGCTTAATTGGTATTTTCGACATAATTGCGTTTTTTGCAGAAGATTTTGTAGAAGTTTTAGTCGTTTTGGATTTGTGAAAACAGAAAACAATGCATCTACAATCAGAATACAAATAATCTACAATTCATCTACAAAATATCTACAAACTAGGTATATTGAATTTTAATATCTCAATTCCCAATCGATTGTAGTTTAATTGGGATTTTCGACATAATTGCGTTTTTTGCAGAAGATTTGTAGAAGTTTTAGTCGTTTTTGATTTGTGAAAACAGAAAACAAAGCATCTACAATCAGAATACAAATAATCTACAATTTATCTACAAAATATCTACAAACTAGGTACATTGAATTTTTATATCTCAATTCCCATTCAATTGTAGTATAATGGGGATTTTTGACATAATTACGTTTTTTCAGAAGATTTGTAGAAGTTTTAGCTTTTTTTTTATTTGTGAAAACAGAAAATAAAGCATCTACAATCAGAATACAAATAATCTACAATTTATCTACAATTTCTGCAATATGTCTTCTTCTTCTTCTTCTTTGAGTTTCAATCTGAAATTCAGTCAAAACCAAGTCTAATCTTCACCAAAACCCCTCTAAATTGAGATATAAACTCCAAACCATATTTCCGATTATTTTCAACAACACCTAATCCAAAAAAATAATGATTTTTGAAAACCCAAATTTGAATTCAAAGCTTTCAAGCTTTCTAATGGCTGTCAGTGGATTATAAATTGAAGATATAGGATCTGCATTTCAAATTTGATCTGAAGGTCGCGAAATCAATTAGAATATTCTGTTCCTGAATTGTAGCGCGCCTAATTAGGAAGATTCAACTACTAATAATTAGTATTTAATGAATGGTACAATAATTGTAGAAAAACTGTGAACATAGCGAGTAAATTAGAAACTATACACATATTTAGTAATAAAGTTTCATATATGGTATAGGAAGGAAAAAATCTCATTAATAATTACCACCGTAGCCTTAAACTTGGGTGGATTTAGGTACCCAACTGGTTCCGCCCTGACAGTGGCGGATGCACATAACCACTTGTGGGTGCTTACATTAACTTTGACCATATTTAGTAATTTACATAAGCTATTGTACAAATATTTAGATAAA